CCTCCTCCTCCTCCTCCTCCTCCTCAAAGCTATATGTGCTACAATATTCTCACTAAGGAGCCGAGGAACATGTTTGCAGACAGGAAACACATTGCCATCGGATGTCTATGTTATACCCAGTCTCTCCCTCGTCTTCTTCCTCATCCTCTACAAAAACAGCGTGGTACCATTAATTGTGACATATTTAAAATATTCTCATTGTGATCCTAACAGACAGGTACAACATCAAAACATTGAGGGAAGGGGGGGGGGGGGTCGTTGCTAATATTACACTGTATAATTCCATAAGCTTCGAAACAAGAAAGTGCTGAGTTGTTATTTTACCAAACTTTTAACACACCGTCTTTCTGTCGTCAGCATAATTTCTTCTCTGACGTCACTGTTAACTAATCTGTTATTTGGGGGGTCGTTCTTTGTTAATTTTTATAGTTGTTTATCAATCTTAATTAAGGACTTTGACCATGACGTCATGGAAAATTTACTAGTTCCCTGTTTCCTTGGGTTTTTTTGTCCTCAGTATTTCTCCCATGACATCATTGATGATCAGTTCCTTACTTGTCCTCCTGTTTTCAGTATTTCGCCCATGGTGTCGTGTATAATAATTCTTAATTCTCTCTTTGTTTCTCCTGTCCTCAGTATTTCGCCCATGATGTCGTTTATAATAATTCTAAATTCTCTCTTTGTTTCTCCTGTCCTCAGTATTTCGTCCGTGACCAAAACTGACCAATCATGAGTAGCCTTGAGGAACGCCGTGAAGCCCGTCGCAGACGTCGCCAGCAGGAGGAAGGGGGAGAAGAGTGAGTACATCCATCTAATTGGTCTGTTTGTTCGTTTTTACATCATTTCTTTGCGGTTGTTGTTTCGTTTTGTATTTTGTTTTTGTTTTTTGTTTCTGTTGTTATTGTTGTTGTTGTTGGTGGTGGTGTTGTTGTTGTTGTTGTTGGTGGTGGTGTTGTTGTTGTTGTTGTTGGTGGTGGTGGTGGTGATGTTGTTGTTGTTGTTGTTGTTGTTGTTGTTGTTGTTGTTGTTGTTGTTGTTGCTCTGTTTACTTAAGAGGCATGTTTTGGTTGATATTTCTTCCACTCGCGTCTTCTAAGGGACATTTGTTACAATGTTTTGTTGTTGTTATTTTTTTAAATCGTTTTGTCTTATGTGTCATGTTTTAGTGTAATGTTTTTAACCGGTATCTTTTTGTGGAGGCTGTGTGTATTAGTGTTTTGTTTGTTAATTGTTTTGACTTATTTCTTTTTTATGTGGCATGTTTTGATGCTTGTTTTTTTACTAATATTTTCTGGCGGAGGCCTGTGGCAGTTTTGCATGAGGGAAATTTCTGAAGTGGATCTGAGAACTCCATGTTTGGATAAACAAGGATATTCCTGTGCCCACTGCTGTGTCCAGTGCAGCAGGCCTATGTATAATACAACATCCTCAGACGAGGAATTACTCCTCTATGCTTTCTCCCTTTTGCTCTATTATTCCCTCCCCTCTCCCTCACTCTCTCTCCTTTTCCCTCTATCCATCTATCTATCTATCTATTTGTCTATCTATCTATCTTTCTATCTATTTGTCTATCTATCTATCTATCCATCTATCTATCTAT